GCGAGTGTTGTGGATTTTGGTGTCATCTCGATGGAAGAAGCCCCGGTCCGTTTTCGAGGAGGCTCAAATCGCTGACATCGTGCTCCCCTCGTACTGTTAGCCCCTCAATTTAATCTACAATTTGGTTCTCCCTCGTGATTGTTGTGGCTCATGGCTTTCTCACCACTTTGATCAAATCACTTAGGGACATTGACTACCTCATGCACATGAACAACGCCAGGTTCGCACCCTATTCCAGTTCATTTGATTCAAATGTGATTAACCGCGATTGGAAAACGGTGATTTTACAGATATCTGCGCCATCTGGACTATGGAAGGACCGATTTCTGGATCCGCAACGGGGTCTACAAGGTTCGACCGTTTATCATTCAATTTGATTAATTGATTGGAAATTATAGTATATTATTTTACTTTACTGCAGGTGAGCCGTCAGTTGACGAACGAGAAGACGGGGAAGAAGGGGTGCCCGGTCGTGCTGGCCTCCATCACCACCCGCTTCCGCCGCGAGTTGCGCCTCTTCCAGACCTTCTCCGTTCGCACCAAGCTTCTGTGCTGGGTACCCATGCCCACCATCTGTTGACCGCCTTCACCGGCTGTGAGTTGAGCCCTGGGTCATTACATACACTGGCTCGCCTGGTTCGTTAACCGGTGTATGTAATGATGTGTGCAGGACGACAAGGCGTTCTACGTCGAGCAGCAGTTCGTGAGCAAGGGCTTCGTGCACTGCATCGCCCTCATCAAGCAAGTCGTACGCAGCGCCTCTCTCTCTCTCTCTCACGCACGCACGCACGCACGCACACACACACACACACACACACGACGCGCACGTCGGCGATGCCCGAACAGTACCCTCACACTTGCCGCTGGTGGTCGTTGCAGGTGGTGGGCACGTCGCCCGCGAAGGTGCTGGCGGCGTTGGGCCACGACGGCATCGTCTCCCCTCCCATGCCCTCTGGAGTGGTACGCCCGCCCCTCGATTGGCCTTTGTTCATTGCCCCTGCCCTCTACACACGACACACACGACACACACACACACACACATAACGCACACGACACACCGCCGCACAACAACAGAAATCGTGGGTGGAGTACGACTCGTGGTCGAGCCAGGAGATCCTCAACACAGCCTCCGAGGAAGCTGCCGCCTCCTCCAAGACCAAGAAGACCAAGAAATACGAATAATTAACTTTTGCTCTCATCAACAATCATCATCGTCGTCGTCATGTTCTTCTCTTTCGTTGTTTGCGATCTTCTCTTCGTCTCTCCTCTTCGCCAAGAAGAGGAACAACACTCTAGCCTCTTCTCTCACTCTCTCACTCTCGTGTCTATATCACAGTCGGGCGGTGTCACGTTCACATGCTCTTGTCGCCGAACGTGCGCGGGAAGCGCTCGCGCTCCTGCACGCGCAGCTCGCGCTTCTTGGCGAGCTCGTCCGAGAGCCGCGTCAGGCAGCGGCCCACGTCGGCCTCGACGAGTCGGGCGCGCTCGGCCTCCTTCCGCCTCTCCTCCCTCTCGGCCGCCAGCGCCTCACGCAGTTCGTTGACCAGGAGCTCGTGCTTGGTTTCCGCCTCCGACTGGCGAGCCTGCTGCGCGGCCTCCAACTCTTGGCGCAGCGCCTCGCACTTGGCTGCAACCAAAAGTGTGAGTTCGTGCGGGTGCGTTGTTGTTGTAGTTGTGTGTGTGTGTGTGTGTGTGCGCGCGCGCGCGCAGCAACTCAGAAGAAACACGTACCGGACAGTTGTGCCAGCTCGAGCTCGTGCTTCTGCTGGCCCTGGTCAAGGAGGGTGGCGATCTCGCGCTGTGCGGTGAAGGCCTCCTGCTCGGCCTGCTTGGCGAGCTCGAGCTCCTGCTGCAGTGTTTCGACCTTGCCTGTACAACCAACACGCACCGCAACATCCGTGAGTCGGTGTGGCAAAGGAAACGAGGCTGGAGATGCATCGGCTGAGGCTCTGTACCGGTCCACAGCGCTTCCTTCTCTTGTAGGGTCGTGGCGTGTGATCGAGCCTGCTCCTCCAGGCACTCCTGCCCCTCAATCTCCATTTGCTCTCGCAGCCTGTCGAACTTAGCTGCAGAGGACGGCGCGCGACGGGCAACCACATACACAATCGATGAGCGTCGGGTTTTGAGCTCAATACACCCACACGGAGAGGTGAAGCGGGCAAAGACTTACCAGACCACTCGGCCTCTCGCTCAGAAGTTCTCTTCTCGTACTCGACCTGCATCTCGCGCATTTGATCTTCAAAGTTGGACTGAGTCTGCGCCCGGTTGGCCCGCTCCTGCTCCTCCATTTGCCGCAGACTGGCCAACGCCTGGGCTAACTCCTCTTGCAGCCGTGCCGTCTCGGCGTCGTGCTTTTCCTGCTGTGCCGACAGCAGCGAAGCCGCCTCCTCCTGGGCGCACCGCGCCGATAGCTCCTGCTGCTCCACCTCTTCCAACCGTCGTTCCATGTCGACCTGCACGGCTGTATGCACATAGGTGGAGAGCACGACAAAGAACAGGTTTAGCGGTCGCGTCATGGGAGATGGAAATCAGAGGCGGCCGCAGTACCGTTCCAGTCTGCCTCGAGCAATTGCAGGCTCTGCAAAAACTCTGCTTCGCACTTCTCTCTTATCTGTCGGGCTGCTTCCTGTGAGAGCTCATCGCTCGAGGGAGGCGGAAGCTGAGGGGCCTCCGGCTGGACGTCGGGCGCGGCCACTTGTTGCTGCTGCTCGTGCGCCTGACGCTGCTCCTCGCTCAGCTGCAGCTTGACTCTGGTTTCGCCCAGCTCGTGGCAGAGCTTGTTGATGGTGTCTTCGTACTTCTCGCGCTGGCTGCTGAGGAGCGCGGCCATATCAAACTGCGCCTTCATCGCGGCTTCCTGGTCCTGCTTGGCGGCCTCCATCTGCTTCTGGAGCTCCTCGGCTTTCACTGTAAACGCAGAAACGGTCGAGTGTTCATGAGAAGGAGCGTATGAGTTTTGTCTTCTTCAAAGACGAAGCTTGCAAGCTTGAGGTCTGGACAGACTACGTACAGTTCCAGGCATCTTCAGCCTCCTTGTTCTTGCGTGCAAACTCGTCCTCCAGCGTTTTGGCCCTTTCCTCGAAGCCGGCCTGCTCGATCAGGCTGCTTAGAGATCTGTCGTCGCAGGACAGGGAGATGCTCGTTCAGATCTTTTCCTCAAGTTATAGAGAGGTTGCTGCGATCGTCGACAACGTACCCACTCGGAACAGGCAGGTTCTCCTTGTTCTCGATTATGGAGATCTTGTTGATGCCCTGTGGCGTCTGAGCCGGCAGAGAGAGCTTCGGCGGACCGGGCCGCAGGCGATCGAGAGGCTTAGCGCGTCCGGCGACCGCCGATTGCGCCACCCCAGCACCAGCCGCACCAGGAATCTTCGCGATGCGTGCTTGGGTCTGCGGCGTCTTGCCGGTGTCTCGCATCTTGGATTGAAGGGGAGTTTTGAGATTGACCTTGCCGAGTCCATTCGAGGATTCTTCTATCATGTTTGTCTTGTTGCCCAGAGGAGTACGCAGGGTGTCGCGCACCGTGCTAACCCTCTTCTTTGCAGCCGCGTCGCCCAGGCGCGCAATGCGAGCTGGGGGCAGTTTCACATCCTTTGTCGAGGAGATGGAATCCTCCCTCTTCCGCTTAGATGGCGTCGAGGCAATGGGCGCTGACATCTTTACTCTTCCTTCAAGATTGAGACAACGTTCGCAACGAACTCTGCCGGCGGAGTTGGAACCAACTCCCGCCAAAAAAAAGGCGCCAAGTTGTTTCTTGTCGACGATTAGACGAAGCCAGAGGCATCACTGTCGGATCCAGCCCTACTGCGCATAGAGCACCGCTTCCCATCCGAACAGCGAAGTAAAGCTGCGCCAGGCGGTGCTAGTACTGGGTGCTCGTGACAGGATGATCGTCGGCCACAAAAGAACAAAAACGCACGAACGTCCGTCGCACGGACCATCATTGACTGACGGATACGGCCACACTGCGCAGAAAGCACCGCTTCCCATCCGAACAGCGAAGTTAAGCTGCGCCAGGCGGTGTTAGTACTGGGGTGGGCGACCACCCGGGAATCCACCGTGCCGTATCCTTTTTGTTTGCTTCCAGGGCGAAAAGTGACGCGAACACGTCGGTCCGCAATCGTTCTTCGCATGTCCGACTAGTGGGGCATGGATACAGGAAGGCGAAGCGAGACAGAGATCATGTTAGGGTCGTTTGCCCTGGGCAACCTGGTTAAGCCTCGATCGTGTGTACAGCGGCGCGTCGGACCACAAGAACGGTTGACGACACTTGATGCTGGCGAAGCAGAGCAACGAAAAGCAGGATGTGGCGTGAGAGTGTGCAAGGTGCATTATTCGCGAAGAAAGAAGAAGTGCGAATGAGTGAATAGTGAAGGGGGTGGAGAGGCACCAATGCATGTGGTTGCACCCAAGGTTCTTCTCAATCAGCGTCCAGCAGCGGGGACAGTGTCGCACGTCCTTTTTCCGCGCCCACTTGTTGAGGTCTTGCTTCTCTCTGTGTGGACGAGACCGTGAATCAGAATTATCGCTCGGCGCGTGTGACGTACCGTCCAAACTGTTTTGTGTATGAGCGATGGCGTACTCTTTGGTGAGCCCTCGGCCAGGCCGGACCACGGGCTCACGCTTAAGCCGCCTCCTTTCCGCAGCCGTTTCACAGGTGATCTTTGGCTTGTGGCCCTGCTCATCACCCACATTCGATCAGCCAAAACCACACCACGATCGACACACTCCGCAAACTCAACACACGGCACACGACACACATGACACGCACACGACACACGACACACTAGCAAGCACGCACGGAGCGACAAGTCTTGCAAAAGGTGAAGCGGCAAAGCGGGTTGACGCATTGAATGAACTTGGCATCGGCATCGTTGGCCTCGACTCCGCCGCCACAGCCCTTCGGACACCACCTGCAGCGGCCGCCCCACAGGTCAGTCCACTGAATGAAGTTGCACGCGTCACGCCCCTATGCGTACGTCATGTTGGGTATGTGGTCGAGCGCCTTGTTGAGAATGAAGGTGTCGAACTCGTTGAGCAGCTCCGCGCTGACGCAGTGCTGAATGTCCCAATAGCCCAGCACGTGGGTGCACTTGAACGCGGGGCAGCGAATGCCATAGACGTCATCGCCGCTCAACGCCGCGGTCGGCGCAGCTTGGACTGTGGCCGCCCTGCGCGCCAAGCAACCTTAAGCAAGCGTTGCCTGGTAATGTGCGTGTCGTGTGTGCCGTGTGTCGTGTGTGTGTCGTACGGGCGTGGAGGCCCAAGAATGTCAAATTCGTATCCGATATCGCTCGGAGCGATGGGGTCGGGCGGGGCTGCGATCGATCGCTCCTTGATCTTGATAGTCAGGTAGCTCGTCATACAATCGGCACAGAACCCGTGCCCACAGCCTTGGATCTGCACTCCCAAATTTTTAACGCATCAGGCATCGGCCCATCCACGCCACACGCCACACGCCACACACAACATACCAGAAATACTTCGTGGTAAGGGTACTCCTCCATGCAGATCTGGCAGTCGTACCGGTCGCCTTCGTGTTTGTCGGCGATCGGCTCAGCCCGAGTCCTGTTCTCTCCTGCCTCCCGTTCTTCTTCCTTTTCTTTTTCTTCTTGCTCTGCGTTTCGCTGCTGCTCGCCGCCGCCGCGTTCCTGGAGCTCGAGCTCGCGGAGCGCGGCCTGGAGCGAGGCCTCCTCGTCCTCCTGCTGCAGCCGGAGCGCCAGCGACTCGTCTTGGGCCATGCGCATCGCCTCCTCTTCCTCCTCGTCGCTCTTTCTCCTTCGCCTTCCCGTCTGCTCCGCCCGTTCCTGCGTGTGCGTGTGTGCGTGTGCGTGTTTGATGACCAGAGCTCATGGCACTTGCAAGTGGTGCTACGGTACCTGGTCGGGGGCAGCAGCGGCGGTGCTGTTGGTGTTGTCCGTGGTGGTGGTGGTGGTGATGGTGGGAGTGCTGGGCTGCTGTGGAGACGTCAGCTCAGGTTCGTTCAGGAGGAGCAGCACGGCCTGTTCCTGGTCGCCGTTGGCCCGCTTCACCGCGGCAGCGATTTGCTTCAGGGGCAAGTCGGGGAGCAGCTCCGAAATGGACAAACACTGCACACGACACAACCCTTTCGTTCAACCACAGTCCTGCTCGCGGCTGCAAAGTGTAGCTACGGAGGATTGGGGGGGGGGACAAGTGTACGATGGCTTCCCAGAGTCGGTTCCGTTCACGCAGGCGTGCCCGCGCCGCAGGGTCCGCCCGTGTCGGTTCCATCTTCTTCTTCTGTGCGCACAGTGGGTTGTTCTTCCTTCTTTTTCCTCTTCTCTTTTCTCTTCATAATTTCGGTGAACAAGACCACCCCAGACATTTCTCAGACTTCTGTGGCAGAGGAAGAGCTTGTAGCGGGGCGCTATGTGTGGTGGGGCTCGTCGGGGTTGAGCCCGAAGTCGGCCAGGAGCTGCTTGGTGCGGGCGTAGACGGGGATCTTCTTGGCCCGCATCACCCGCCATACGCGCTCGGCTTGCCACACGTCGGCCAGCTGGTCGCAGATGGTCAGCAGCTGGCTGTACACGAACTGCGGCTTGTACAACTGCGACAGCTCCTCCGCGAGACGGAACGCCCTGTGTCGCCCATCTTAAGACATTGCGTTCCACAACGCACACGCACACGCACACGCACACGCACACGCACACAACAAGGGAATAGCGCTCGACGTACGTATCGGTCTTGTTGTTCGTAAGAGTGGCGCGCAGCAGGAAGCAGATCACGTTCCACGGCAGACGGATCTGGTCCGCTTTGATGTCCTCCCACAGCGCGCACGCCTTCTCCACGTTGCCGTGCTTCTCGCAAAACTAAGAGGACCGGTCGTCACAAGAACCAACAACAAGGGTGAGAAGAGCAGGACGCGGCTGCACAGCTGCGCCGATCATCGATTGATTGGCGTGCGGGCCGGAGGAGTGGGGAGAAGGCTGCATTACCCGCAAGAGAGTCGCGTACGTGGCGACAGTGGGCATGACCTGATCGCGGCGCATACTGTCCACACATATCACCGACAGTGACCGGTCGATTAGTCGCGTGTGCCGCGTGTGCCGCGTGTGCTGTGTCGGCCGGCAGGAAGGGAAGACGGAGGATAAACGTACTCGGCGTAGGCTCCGAAGCATCTTTCCGCGTCGCCACTCGCGGCGTGTGCGTCGATAATCAGCGTGAACGTCGTGGCAGGGTCGCTCTCGACTCCTTCGGCCTGCATGTCCTGCAATGTTCTCTGTATCCCGTCGTACGGCTCTTCAACTCCCGGTTCGCCGGCGTCGGCGGACGAACCACCCTCGTACCTGCTACCGTCATCGCATTCTTCTCCTTCTCCTTCGTCTTCTCCGTCTTCGTCACCTTGTCGTGGTTGTGGCTCCGCGTAGTCGATGTCGCTGTCCGTGGAGCGGGCCTTCAACTGCTTGACGTAGTAGTTCAGCAGCGGCACGTAGGTGACGTTGTCGGGTCGCAGGCGATACGCCTTCATCAGCCGCTTGAGCCGCCAGGCGAGTTCGATTTCGGTCCGCTTGCCCTTCGTGCACCAGGCGATCAGCGCGTTGAACGTCTTCGTCGACGGCGTGAGGCCGTGCTCCCTTCGCAGGAAACGGAGCACCAGCTTCACCCGCTCCAGCTTCTTCGACACCGCGTCACTGGCGTGACCGGCCTCGCGCTCGCTGACGCTTGATGTCGCTCCGCTCTCCGTGTCGCTTTCCGCCGGCGGCGTAGTCGCGACTGTGGCCGAGGCCTCGCCGTGCTGCTCCACCCACGCATCCCACTCTTTGTTTTCCCTCAGCGTGCTCTTCATGATGTAGTCGAGCGTAAACCTGTTGGGCCGCACTCGATGCTGCTTTCGCATCGAGTCGATGAGCTCCCAGGTGCGCTCCACCTGGCCCGCGGCCAGGAACGCGTCGACGAATCCCGCCATCACGATGAAGTTCGGCACCACGCGGTCCTCCTCCATCAGCCCGAGGAGCTCTTCGGCGGCCTTCGGGTTGCTGCGACGCCCCAGAGAGCCCAAGAAAGCAACGGATAAGATATGTTAATATAAAATAATAGTAATAATAGTAATAGAAATGCAGATGAACAATAAACAACAATTAAATAAAGAAAATAGTGGCAGTACCGCTTGAGTGCGCAGATGTGCGCCATCGTCGAGTAGGTCCACTCGTTGGGTTGCACCTTCTCCTCGCGCATCCGCCGGAAGACGAGCCAGGCCTTGTCGGCATTCCGGTCCTTCTTGAGCAGGTTGATGAAGGAGGTGTACGTCACCGTGTCCGGGTAGATTCCTCTCTTGCGCATCCGGTCCAGCAGGTTGATCCCCGCCGTATTGACCAGAACCGGCTTGTACCGCACCTGATGAGGCCAACGGAGGCCACTGTGAGACCGCGGTGCTCGGCCACCGATGCATCACACAGGACGCGTGTGCACGTGGGTGGTGGAAATGGGTTAAAGGAAGGTTGCACCTTGGTGAGTATGTGCATGAGGTGGTTGTACTCCAGTAGGTTGTTCGTATCGACCTTGTTCATAAGCATGATCAGATCGGTCTCGCAGCTTTTGTCTTGCGCGGCCTGGACCATCTTGAACGCCCGCACGAACCGCTGATACGAAACCGCGTTCAGCTTGTTCAATCTGGGAGCGAGATAGAAGAAGAGGAGGACGCGGCGGCATGCCTGTCAGGCCGACAAATCCACCTCGGCAGCCAACACACTGCCGTCAACGAGCACTGAGCTGATGGCGGCCAACACGTACTTTTGTAGTTCTGCCTGCGCGCTCATGGTCTCGCTGTTCGCGACACCCGCTGCCGTTGTTGCTGGTTCGGCCGTGAACAAGTCAGCTGCATAGATTGCTTGTTGCGTAAGGGAAATCGTCTGTACGTACTGCCAAAGGGGCGTACTGGTGGCCGGAGGGAATGGCGCGAATGCACAGCTGTAGGAGAGGAATGCGTTGCTAAGATCGGCAGTGATCGCGGAAAGATGAAGCTGCATCGTCCGCTCAACGAGCATGCTGATCTAGTGCAGCTGGCCCCGAATTGAGTGACCGCCGATGGCCGGACGGGGCGCAATTGCCAGGCCGCCCTCATCGCTCCTCCGATCGATCGAGCCAAAAATGTATACTTTTCTCTTCTCATTTCTTTTTTTGCCCTTCGGAAAAGAGAGCGACATGTCGGGCGTTGGGGAGTGGAGAAATTTCCAGGACTGAACGACAGCCAGACGACCAGTACGAATTCACCGAAACGCTGGGAAATAACCGTATTATTTCTGGCTTTTTTCCCAGTACGGAGGGTACATAAGCGGAGGGGCGGTGATCCGGCTTTTTTTCTTTGCTTCCGAGGAGTAGCAAGACTATTTTACATACCACCGCACCACAACCATGGGTAAGGAGAAGACTCACATCAACCTGGTCGTGATCGGTCACGTCGATGCCGGTAAGTCCACCACTACTGGCCACTTGATCTACAAGTGCGGTGGTATCGACAAGCGAACCATCGAGAAGTTCGAGGCTGAGGCCAAGGAGATGGGCAAGGGCTCGTTCAAGTACGCCTGGGTGCTCGACAAGCTGAAGGCCGAGCGTGAGCGTGGTATCACCATCGATATCGCTCTCTGGAAGTTCGAGACTGCCAAGTACTACTTCACCATCATCGATGCC